CACACACACACACACACACACACACACACACACACACACACACACACGGGGGAAAAGCCCTAGTACCATTTAAAGCTTAAACAACGGTGACAAATAGAATTGCAAGGTCCTGAAATCTCTGTTTTCCAAAAGGGTGCAATTAATGCATGCAAGGTAAAATCGAGTCACATTGACATCTCTGTTGTCACCAAGTGATTAGAATGAACAAGAACCAAAACCATGAACTTGATTTGAGGAGGATAAAAGAAGTTATTGCAATGCCACACAAACTAGAAATCAAATATAAATTGTATATGTAGCTAAAGTTAATTTTCTCTCTTACTGAGATAACGTAACACATTTTTACAGGGTTTAAATTCATGGTACACACCCTAAATACCTCTTTTCAGTCTCTGCCAAGTATTTCTATGGGAAAATTCCTTTCATATGCACAGATAAAAAGACATTTGGAATTTTTCTCTATTATAATTTTTGAATTCTCTTTCTCCTATCCCTAGTTCCTACTGCCGTTCAGCTCAGCATATGTATTAAAAACGGAACAAATAAAAAGGACATTGGTTTTTTTAAATTAATGAATTTTATTAATAAATCACTCTTCTTATATTTTGAGAAGAATGAACAAGTATTTGGCATTTTGTGCCACACAATTAGGAATTTATATTATGTTGAAAGATTAGAACAAGGGTTTCTTTGCCAATATTGTTCCAGATATCCCATGGGGGTCATAATAATAAACATATTTGTATTAGACGCATGATACATAAGGTATAGATCACAAACAAAAAGATGTAGCAAATGATTTGGGCCAGTTACAGCCTCATGTAAGGTATATTTTATTAAGTTTGTGTAGTTAAGTGGAGCCTGAATGAATTATGGCCATGTTATTTCATCCTTTAGGTACTTAGATGCTAGTATAGTTAGGACTAAAAGCCAAACACATTTCATAGTCTGGGCTTGATGCCTGGAAGAAAAGAGTCCATATGCTTAACACAGCTATGTAACATAGCTTACTCCCCAGTCTTTGTTCACAAAATGTCTAGGACTGAAAGAGATGAAGACTGCATTATACTTTCAAATCAGAAGACGCTGATCCTAAGCAACACAGGTTGAGGTGGATTAGCAAAGTAAGGCGGGCAAGTCTGGAATGAGCTTACATAAGCTACATACTGTGTTTAATATTTGGAGAAGGAGAGGGAGAAGAGAAGAGAAGGAATGTGCTATTACACGAAGTATAATCTTTTCATTAATGACATTTTAAGAAAACTAACATGCTATCCAGGAAGGTATTTCTTGGAGGTAGGCCAACATTTTAGTTCAAGCATTCATCAGGACAAGTGTATTAAACTTGTGAGTAATGACTGCAACCATGAAAAGTTCTTAGCATACATTAATTTAGATACTTCGAATACCTCTTAAATTGGTCTTGTGAAAATGCATTTTTGGAAGCAAAGAGCGGCAATTCTCTTTGGAACATGACAATTCTCCTTCCCATTTCTTTTGCGACCTTTTTAATGACAAAGAATGCTTCAGCTCACTAGAAGAAAAATAAGAAATAATGAAGGCTTATTTTTTGGCATGTTCAGCAGACATTAGATTGTGAATTTTTTTTTAAACTAGCCTCTTTTTAATCATAAATTCCTCCTTGTCATGTAAATTCATATTTTGTTTTCTAGGTAGGTCACTTATCCCAGCCTCAACATCTCCCTTGAAGTAGCTATGGTGATATTTTCCCTTTGCTGAACCCTTTACCTAATGACTCCTGGAGAAGTTCACAAACAGTGCATATCCAATAAATGGATAAGAAACAGGGGACCAATTTGAGATAAGAAAAAGTCATGATTAGAAACTCGATGCTCTTCTTCAGTTTCTCAACTTTGCAGCATTCCTTCTTGTTCCTCTACCATCATCATCATCATCATCATCATCATCATGTGACGATGATAAAAACAGCAACAACAGCAGCTAATATCTGTATAGCATTTTAAAGTTTGCAAAGTGCTTTATATATAACATACCCATAACATCTCTACAAGGTAGGTGCTATTACTTATCCCCATTTCACAGATGAGGTAACTGAGGCTGAGAACATTCTATTTCAGTGGAGGTAAGCTTGGTGTATATTTTTTAAAGGTTTCTCTTTTTGGAAAATATTATACAGTATCCCATGAGAAGTTAAGGATGCATGTAGGATTTATGATGTGGTTGCTTATACTCCTGGCCAGAAATTCTGAAGCTGAATCTCCACAGCATTTTAAGTAACAGATAAAGTACATATCACGTATATAATAATAATCATGAAATCAGACAAAAGACTGTGTAAAGCAGTCATTTGGTAAACAATTTCATTTCTCTTGGGAAACATTTTGCCTCAACATTGAGGAAATGGATATGAGTCAATATATGTACATATTGAGAGGCAGGGGAAAAAAACTCAAAACCTTATAGGTTTAGAAATAGGCTTTCTGTCAGTCATCAGGATGCACAGGCTGACCACTCCAGGTCATGTGAAGTTCAAGAAACTGTGCTAGGGCAGAAGCTGCACCTCAAGGCAGAAGACAGCGAGCGATGCTCTAGGTTTTACTTACGGTGCCTCAGGCAACACCTTGGCTTGGTTCTGATCACCATCAGTTAAAATCTTCAGGGCCCTCTGAGAGTCAGGGCCAACCCGATGTCCCAACTTCTTCCGTTTCTGCCCCTTTCTTGATTCAAGCATACCAACTTTTCCCAACGCAGGCAGATAAGCACATACCTGTTGCAAAATAACATCATAATATTACTTTCATGGTCCTATGTATGGCAATAGGAAGCCCGAAAATCATTACCTGATCATTTCTCAATAAAATTTCTCATAAAAATTCTCAAAAAATTTCTCATAAAATTTCTCATAAAAAATAAAAAAAGACATCCTTTCTGCTCTGTCAGTATGGTTGCTACACCATCTCAGTTAATTAAGTATGCTAAAATATGAAGATGATTGCTAAAATTACTATTTCTTCTTTCTTTTTAGTTTTGAACTTTAAGCGATCATTAATTTTCAGGGAATTAACCTTCTTTTGAGCCCAGGATAAACATTTGTAACAAAATTTAAAAAAAGAAAAAGTAGTTCAGTAAGATTAGGTTATTGGAAATAGGTTTTAGTACATTCAGCTCATGGAATGATAGCCCCAGAGCTGAAGGGCCTCAGAGACCAGCTAGTCCAACCCCTTCATTTGACAGTTAAAGAAACTGAGGCTTACGGAAGCTAAATGAGTTAACCCAGGTCAAACAAGTAGTGAGTGGTAGATGTGCGGTTTGAATCCAGGTTTGGGTTGAAATTTTGCTTCTGTCACTAGGCATAGGGTGTCATTTTAGGCAAGTCACTGTACCTCTCTGGCCCTCAGTTTCCCCATCTGTAAAATAAGAGGGTTGAGGTAGATGACCTCTGACATCCCTTCCAGCTTTAGATGATTCCATGACACATAAAGTGACTATTTCACATAACTAAACCAATACCACATGGATGAAAAGAAGCAAAAATGCCTGGATGCAAATAATTAGTCTTTCCTAATTTAATTTTTTTTGGCATTATGCTCATTCAGAAAAGATCCTTTGATTAGTCTTGTGCCTAGCATGTTATGTTGCTTTTGCATAATTTATTTATAAAAAAGTCATCTGATTTATGTACAACTGGTATTTTGCCATTTCAACTTTGTTTATGCATTTGTGCATTAGGAAACAAGTCTGGTGTAAGACATACAATAATGGGTGTGCAAGTCTATGAAAGGGAAAGAAATGTTGCAAAACAGAGAATTTTGCACAACCAATTTGCATAAACAAGTATGTCTGATTCTCATCTCTTCTTGGAACTGCTTGAGAGCATTTAATAATATCCAAAGATGGGCCAGTGATGGCGTTGGCAAGATACAGCTAGAGAACTATGCACTAAATGCACCACTCATGATTGCTAAGATTAGAGTGGGTTTGAGTTGTTTACAAGTAACCTTATTTTAGAATATTAGATATTAAATGGAATTGTTCTCTGTGTCTACTCTTCGATCTTATTTAAAAGAACAGTCTTACATATTAAGCTAGAGAATGAAGAATAAAAATTTTTCTGTTCTGTTTCTAGAGTAGACATTTAAACTTCCTAAGTTCTGTAGTTAACTTTTTTCCCTTCACTAATTTTTCCATCTTTGAGGGGAACAGCACCAACGCACAAGCAAATGTTGGAAATACTTAAATTAATATTTTTAATGAATTAAACTGGTCATATTGATGACTCAGAAATTAAATAGATTTGAGTAGAAGGGTATTTACCATTTTCTGAAGAGAGAGTGGTTCAGGAGAAATACTGATACAGCTCTGTAAACATAACTTTTTAAAAATTGACTCTGCAATGACCATCTGAAGCCAGGATGAAGATAAGGAACTAATGAAACTCTTTAACTCCTCTGAAGAAAAATCTAAAGGAAACAAGTAAAAAAAAAAACAAACAAAAAACACCATAACAATACATTAAGTGTCTACTAGGTATATAAGCATTGTGCTAGAAAACAGGGGAAGAGAAATAGATGAAACATTCCCAAGTGTTTCCTGCCTTCGGAGAGCTTGCAATCTAGTATGCACATACACAGTATTATACGACAGGTAAAAGAAATACAAAGGTGAAACACAATCACTGTGCGTAATGGACCTGATCATTATTTATCCAGATTTTCCTAAAACAGAGTTCTTCTTTTGGAGATATCATAGTACAAAGAACATTGAATTTTAAGTCTGAACACCTGGGTTTGGATTCCAGCTCTGTGAACTAGGCATCCGTAAAATGAGTGGGTTAGTCAAGAATAAGACGATTAATTCTTAACCTCAGCCCTTTGTACTCCCAAAGGACCTATGAATAGATTTCAAGGGGGTCTGTGAACTTGGATGGGAAAAAAAATTCCAACTTTACATTCATCAACTTCTAACAAATATTTGGCATTTCCTCCAATTATGAATTAAAAAAAAATATTTGGAGGACTTTACCAGTCACCAGAGGGGGTCCATGACACAGAAAAGGTCAAAACCTCTAGGTCTAGATCTGTATGGTTTCTTCCAGCTCAAAAATCACATGGTAGCATCCCATATGGTATCAGCACCAAAAGATTTTAATGTGCATTGATATGTAATTTGCAAATAATCAGGGTTGAGTTGATGAGGGAAAGGAATTGGAATGCTTTTTCCGACCACAATCACTAACCTAGCTATTTAACCCAAACCATCTTTCTCACTTTAAGATAAAAAAAAAAAAAAAAAATGTTGCACAACAGAGAATTTTGCATAATTGGGATGCGGGGGGAATGTTGTGTAGAACAGAAGGGTAAGAACAAGACCAATGCTTAAAAGCAGTTTTCAACTTCTCAGAAATAGCAGAAAGCACATATTCCAGCCCTGATCTCTTTTCTGAATACATTGCCTTATGGTAGCAACTTCTTGCTAAACATATCAACATTGATATCCTACTGACCCTCAAATTCAACATATCTAAAACAAAATTTATAATCTTCCTCCCATATTCACTCTCTCCAAAAAACTTCTCTTTTTCTATTGAGTTCACAAAGTTACCACCTTTTAATCACCCAAGTTTACAACCTTAGAGTAATACTTCACAGAATCTTAGATTTGGAAAGCACCTCTCTTGGGTCAGGCCTAACTCAAGGCCAACTCAGTGATGCACTCTCAGGGTTAGAATGCCAGAAAGAATTTGGTGGACCATAAAATGCTATGAAAACAATTTTATTGGTGACAAAGGATAAAGCACACAATTCCTAAGATTAAAAAGATATTTAGATAAAAGGTCTCCCCCCACTCACTCCCCAACTTGTATGTTCACCTTAGCAAATGGCTACTTAGCTGGCCTCAACTTTCTCTTAGCTCCTCCAACCCATCTTCACTCAACCTCCCATCCCCCACCCCAACCTCTCAACAGGTGAGTTCCCTTTAAGCTAGAGCTTTGATGTTTCGGGCAGCAAGGAAGCCAAACCAATGCTGATCCCCTGTAGACTTATATGTACCCTTAAGGGGAACCCAGCCCAGCCTAATGCTAGTAATGCTTCTATAACAAGCTCTCAGAATCCACTCCACAACATTCTGGACAAGTAACCAGTCATTCAGCCTCTTAAGATAAAGAGCTGCAGAAGGAAGAAGGGATCTAGGATCCCATGAGGCAGCCCACTGCACTTGGGGATAGCTCGGTGAGGAAGGTAGCTTCTTTGCAGTTTCTAACCATTGCTCCCATTTCTGCCTTCTGGGGTGAAAAATAACAGGTCGAACCCCTTGCAAACATGACAGTCCTTCAAACTGAAATCAGCTATCATGTTCCTCCTCTCCAGACTAAATATCTCTTGTTCCTTGTACTGATTTCTTATAACATGATCTCAAAGCCCTTCACTGTCTTCATTGCCCTTCCTGGATACACTTCAATTTATCACAGTCCTTCCTAAAAGGAAACTCAGAAATGAACAAAAATATTGCAAATATGATCTGAACAGCGTTCCCTAGTATGGCTGGACCATATCACCTGTCTCATCCAGGGCTATGTCTTTCAATGAAGCCTGCAATTATTTAATTTTTTTTTTTTACTTCTATGTTAGATTATTTACTCTTCCCTCTTCCTCCATACCACTTCTCTCATCTTTCCACTTATCTCCACCCTTCAGAGCACTCTTTGTAGTTCAGGTCCTTATCACCTCTCACATGGAATACTCTAACAACCTTCTGATTGGTCTCTCTGCTAGTCTCTCTGCCCTCCAACCCACATGTGCCAAAATAATCTTCTTAAGGTATATATCTGACAATGGAGCACAGATCTTTAGGGGCTCCCTTTTGTCTCTAGGATAAAATAATAATTCCTCAGACTGACATCTAAAGCCCTTCGTGATCTAGATACACAAGCCCCTTCCCCTTTCTAGACTTATTTCCTATTACAGCCTGCATTCTAGTCAATAGCTATTTGATGAATGTAGGTTAGATCTCCTACCTCCAGGGCTTTTACATTAGTTGTTTCCCATGCTAGGAATCTCCCTCTTCTCCTCCCCTATCTGAATCATTATCTACATTCAAGGCTCAGCTTAGTACTATTAGAATACTAGAGCTCTTTACCTCTTTAAATTATCTTGCATTTTCTTAAGTAAATTCACATGCTGAATCCCCATAGAATGTGAGCTCTATTAGGGCAGGGACTGTTTGTTATTGTTGTTTCTTTTCTCCTCTGTATCCCCAAGTTTTTATGTGGTTTGGAAAATGTAATATAGTTCTCAGTACCTTAGACCTGTATCACAACTATATATGTATAAACACATACATATATATATATATGTTAAAATTTTTATGTACTACATCATTAATAGATAGATTTCACTTTAAAAAAGTTTTCTTCCCGAATTTGATTTCTTGAAGTTTACAGTACTGTGGTTTCCCATAGTAACTTGAACACATGCTGATATTCTTAGATCTTCCTGACTCCAGGCCCAGTACTCAATCCACTGTGCCACCTAGTTGCTCCTAGCCCTGATAATAATTCTCAATCTACTTGTTTGTGTTTACATTCATGTAACACAGACCATATTTTTGTCTTTCTTTGAATCAGTAGCTATTAGTATACTGCCTAGAACATAGCAGGTGCTTAACAAATGCTAAATGACTTGACTCAAAAAAGGTGGTAGGGGATGGGATCAAGGATATAAGTATGGAGGTGTGCCTTGGCAAGAAGATTAATTTCTTTCTTAGTCTAGAACAAAGGAAAAAAATTGGGAACAATTTGGGTAGGGTGCTTCCTTTTCCTCAGTGATTTGAAAGGAGGAAAGAAGATGACATGATTTAGGTGGGTTTTGAGTTATAAAAGAGGGCAAAAGAAAGCTCAAGGGGAATAATCTCAATTTTTTCAGTGAAGTAGGAGGTGAGATAGATTAGTAAGTCACGGAAGAACAAAATATTTGATATCTAATAGTCAGTAGGCCCAATGGATATTAGATAAGATGAATTTGTAATGTAACATAAACCTGTGATTATAGGATCATAGATTGAGAGCCATAGGGGATCATGGAAGCTATTGAGAGTGAGGTTTAAAGGGGTAGGCACAATTATATGCCTTTCTCTCATAGCACTGAAAAGCATGGAAGTAGGAACAGAGACATTATCTGCACTCTCTCCCTTCAGAAGGACTCTATTAATTTCATATACTTTGTATTTTCTTGTGTACGTGTAGCTCTCCTTGATGACAGGGATTATTTTGTTTCTGTCTTTGTATTCCCAGTGCCTTGTACAAAGTAAGTGCTGAAGGCAAGAGATAACCAAAGGATTTGGAAAGATTTCTAGCAACAGTTCAAAGGAATCAAAAAATAATGGTCAAATATATAGTACACCTAGTCAACTAAACAGTCAAGGTGGTATAGGAAAGTGTTTGGGGGTGATGAACTGGGAGAACGGTGAAGGGAAAAAGAAGAAGGAAAGACCAATAAAGATGTAAATGGAAAAAAAAATCTAATCAGAAAGGATACAGAAACTGGGATCATTAGCTTGAAGAAGAAATCGCTGAAAGTCATCTTCCAATTCTAAAGTATGTTATATTATATTGTTATATTATATTGTTATATTATATTATACTATATAGAAGATGGCAATTAACTCTTTTCCATCTTTCCTCAGGACAGAATATAGAGGAAATGAACTTATACCTCCAAAATCAGGAATTTAGGTTAAAGAGATACTTTTAAAATACTTTGGAAATGGTATGAAGAATCTCCTCTCATAGTTTTTAGAAATGAGATATCTCATCTGTTTGAGCTGAATTAAGCATAACCTGGGAATAAGGAAGAAATATGGATTTAGGTCAGCTTCAGACATATTTTCTAACTTTATGATTCTATGAAAAAAAAAACTTAAAAATCCAACAAATGCCACTAAAAATTCAGTCAATTATGTATGAATACTTATTACATAGATTCTTTGTTTACCAGTAATGAGAAAGACTACTGTTACATGTTCAATGGAAAGTTACAGCAATACTAAGAGGTCAATTCTAACATCATTATTAATGACCTAATAGAAGCAAACCAAAGATTTATTAACTCTGTGTATATTCAGCAAAACTGGAAAGCAGGGCAAAGAAATGTGAAAATGTCAGTTAGAAATAAGAGAATCAAATTAAAATTTTTTCAAATCAAGTCAGGTTTTCCCAGGGGGGTGAAAAACCCTAACATTAAAGAAGAGGAAAGGAATATGGGGGAAAGTAGTAATGACAAAAGGAAAAAATAGGCAGCAGATTTTCAGACTTCTACAATAAAAATGCATAATTTAAGAAAGCAACATGAAAGACCTGGTTCAGTCACAATGGGACATTGTGGCATTAAAATGAATACATAAGAAATAACGAACTCTGTATATTTGCTGAGAGAAAGTTGCTGCCCACTTATATTAACTACTG